TATATATATATACATATATATATATATATATATATATATATATATATATATACATATATACATATATATATATATATATATATAATAAAATCAATAGAACGTTGCTACTTTGTGGATTTTCACCTGCTGCGGGGGTCTCTGGAACGTAACCCCTGCGATAGCTGAGTAGAGTTGCATTTGGGTCAAAAAAATCGGACCCGGCCCCAGCTCGTAGCCATCTTTTCCTAACTCCACCCAACCCAACGAATTAACCGCAATTACAGGTCCAAAACCGAACACGCCCCCACCCCCAACATTTTAAATTAAGCTTTGACTGCTGGTCGTCGGACGCACGCGGCTGAATAAAGGGGCAGAAGATCGGAGCTGAGGGATGCTAGTCATTTCATTTCAAAGCTCATTAAATCCCTGTTTCTGCTGCATTCTGCATGATTCAGACACGGACCCTGCTCTGACATGTTCGATATTTTAGGATCTCACCCATTTGGGTCGTCGGCCGCGCGCGTCCGCTGAGTGCAGCGGCTGAATGAACGTCCATTTGGGCGATGGCTCGCTGGCAGTAGTCCATCTGAAGCTTAACTGAACATTTTACATCTTTCGAGGCCGGTGAGCGCACGGTGAAATGGCCGCATGTGGCAGGTGATAGTAGGCAAGCCATGTTGCCATATAATTGGATCGTCAGATGCGTGCGTCCGCTGATGCAATCAAAAGCCCAACACCGACCCGGCCTGCACATTATTATGGACCAACCCTAATCCGGGTCGGGCCGGGCTCCGGGTTAGAAATGACAGCTCTACAGCTGAGGGATCACTGTCCAAAGAAACCTGATGAAGAAAACAAAGTTCATGTTCAGTGACCCAGGTAAAAAATCCAGCAGTCAAGTCAGGGCCTCTGGACGGTTTCTTTGTGCTGAAACGTTTCATCTTTCATCCACAGGACTTCATCAGTCTGAGGAGCCACAACAAACTCAGTCCCATAAGCAGCACACTCACACAGTGGGCCAACCAGTTTGATGGTGGTTTCTGGATGAAGTCTTTTGGATGAAAGACGAAATGCTTCAACAAAAGAAACCGTCCAGAGGACGTGACTTTGTTGGATTTTTTTTACCTGGATTATTGAGCATGGACTTTGATGTTTGAACCACTTTGGCCATGGCAGCCTCAGACGAGTTGTCAGGGGAGAGGGCGGACTCCAGAAACCAACTTATCACCATCAAACTGGTTGGCTTAGCGTCCCAAATCACCTGTTGTCAGTGGGCAATAAAAATGGCCGTACCTCGCTTCTCCAGCTTCACCACATCTGTCTCGTATTCTTGTGTGCCGCACACTCTCAGCTGGACGTCAGGAGGGAGGTTCATGTAGTCGTGGATCTGCTGCATCATCCGCTTCAGATGATCTCCAAACGGATCCTAACGAAACAAAATAAATTCAGGACCTCCTCGCAAACACGACGGTCTGTCACGTCACAGCTGACAGTATCTTTTTTTTGTTACTACAGTTTCAAATCATCAATCTGATACAAACAGATCATTTGGCTTACAGCCTGCCGTTTCTCCACAATGTCAAACGTTTTTCTGGGTTTGGGTACGTTCTTCTTCAGCTCAGGAACACAGTTCTTAGTTGACACTATGGTTGAGTCCAAGTTAGCGCAGATCTGAAAATGAGAGATGGTGTTGGAAAGCATACTGGTAATTAATGCCCCATCCTAGATGCCAGTTTCAACAGACCTGCAGAATGTGATTCACAGCATCTTCCAGGTTCTTCATACCACCTGTCCCAGGTGAGGCTGTGAGACCCAGGATCTGTGGCAACCTCTGCTCTCCGTTCAGCTTTTTCTCCACGTAGCACCTCATTATTTTGTTGTAGACTTCCTCCTTATGGGTGTGGTGACACTCATCGATTATCAGCAGAGTTATATCTATGAAGAACCACGAATGCATCACAGGTTGGTTAGCCTCACCATCAGAACAAGATAATTAGGAGGTTCTGGATCACTGACCTGACAGCTCGGTGTGCTTCGTCTCCTCCTCGTTGATCATAGCGTTATGAAGGATCTGCGCTGTGCAGATGATGACATGTGTGCTCTGAATCACTTTCCCGAAGAAATCCTTCTCCTCGCTGTCTCCGCTCACCTTCACAAGTTTATACTGGTTTCCCAGGAAAGGCTTAAACTCGTTGGCGTAATGCTGGTTCACAAGGTGGATCTTTAGAGGAGATACATCAAAAACATCAACCTTCAGACACGAGGCTTAAAATTGGTCTGTTCACAGCTGCGCTTCCTGTTGGTTTACCATAATAACATTTTCTTCTTTGTCCTCTTTTGAATGAATGGATGCTTTATTTGAGCATGTAAATTCAGAAAATACAAATAATACTGAAGTAAAATGTAATCTCCAAATGGTCAAAAGGAGCAGGAAGACGCTCTCTTCTCTTCATCTCCATCTTCTACCAGTAGATGTGAGAGAAAATCAGACCTCCCTTTCCCCAGCGACATGCTTCAGCTCATCCTGAGGGACGTTCCCAGGCTTCAGAGAATATACACCGGTAATCCCTCTACCAAGTTCTGGGTCTGCTCTGGGGTCTCTTCCCAGCGGGACATGCCTGTAAAACCTCCAGTCAGATGGCCAATCGAACCCAACTGGCTCCTTACAACATGTGCTCCCATCCAGACGTCATCTCTTTCAGGGAAGACCCTGCATTTTTCAACACCATAATGCCAGACCACATTCTGCAGCAATCACAACATCATGGCTACGTAGGAGAAGGATCCGGGTACTGAAATGGCCAGCCTGCAGTCCAGATCTTTCACCTATAGAGAACATTTGGCGCATCATAAAGAGGAAGGTGCGACAAAGAAGGCCCAAGACGATTGAACAGTTAGAGGCCTGTATTAGACATGAATGGGAGAGCATTCCTATTTCTAAACTGGAGAAACTGGTCTCCTCTGTCCCCAGACGTCTGTTGAGTGTTGGAAGAAGAAGGGGGGATGCCACACAGTGGGAAAAATGGACTTGTCCCAACTTTTTTGGGATTTGTTGACGCCATGAAATTTGGAAACAACATATTTTTCCCTTAAAATGATACATTCTCTCAGTTTAAACTTTTGATCTGTGATTTGTGTTCTGTTCTGAATAAAATATTAGACGTTGGCACCTCCACATCATTGCATTCAGTTTTTACTCACAACTTGTTTAGTGTCCCAACTTTTTTGGAATCCGGTTTGTAAATAACATTGTGATTTCAGCAGTCAGATCCCTTCTTCCTCCCTGTACCTCTTTTTGTACCGGCTCATTGCTTTAAGATAAAAAAAACGAGCTAAAACAGCAAGTTTTACTAATTCTTATATAAAAAACATTGAACTTGTTTGATCTCTGTATACAGCTTGATGTACCTTGTGACTCTATTCTACAGTAGTAATGTGTATATAAATGATATACACATTATATTATAATGTGTATATAATGTGTATATGTACCTTATTGGCCAGGACCACCACCTTAGCGTTGGCAGTGGTCTCCAGGTGCCTTTTGGCCACATAGACAGCAGCTCTGGTCTTTCCTCCTCCTGTTGGCAGCCAAATTATGATGTTTTCTCTCTTCAGAGGTCTTTCAACCACTTCCTTCTGGTATGCAAACAGCTCAAAATCTGCCATCCTGTGCTCTCCGCCTGCTCAACAACATATACAAGCTGCAGTAATTCATCTACAGACAAGTTATTAAACTAAAAAGCCATTCTGTGAGCGCTGCTGTTTCTATCCTTTCGAAAGGAAACGAGTCTTAACTCACCAGTCAGCCTTGATGGAGGTCTGTGGGGTGTTTGTGGGTCCAGCTGAGCTGCTGGTGGAGCTTTTGATCAGCTGTGACGCTGAAACTGGGAAACGAAAATAAAAGTGGACACGTGGCCCTGCTGAGGGGGGTTCTAGTGGAGCGACACTATGACGTCATTATGCAATGACGGGGAAAAATACGGACCCAAAAGGCACTTTACAGCATTTTATCAAATAACATATCGTTCAGTCTCACATTTAAGAGTTCTAGCTGTAGACTCTTGTAGTGTCTGTCTTGTAGCTGATGTGATTTGAGTGTTGGGAACGTCCTGGGTTGGTGCGTGTTCCCTAACGGGGCCCTTCCTGTCCAAACGAAACGAAACTTGCGCAGACTGCGTCTCCTTCACTTCACGCAGTGCTCAGGTACTTTCCGAGTTCAACAAGTCCGCGTTTTAGGGGATTCTGGCTGCAGCAAATAAAAAGTTACATGATAATTAATGAGTCTTAACAGGAGTTGGCAGGAGACATTATTTCTCTGTCAAATTCAGAATTAATTCAAAATCCTGCTTCTAACCCACAAAGCTCTCAACAACCTAGCTCCATCTTATATTAAAGATCTTATTGTTCCATATTTTCCTAGCAGAGCACTTGTCTCTCCGACTGCAGGTTTACTTGTGGTTCCTATAGTTTCCAAAAGCAGAATGAAGAGCTTTCAGTTATCGTTCATTCACACTGGAGACTCAGGACAAGTGATGTCAGGTTCTTGTAGAACCAAAATCCAGTTTCTGTCCATGAGGCTGACACATTGTCCAGTTTTAAGACTGGGCTTAAGACTCTCCTTTTTGATAAATCCTATAGTCCGCTTGGTTTCCTGACCTCTTCCTTATCCTATGCTGCTATAACTACTGGAGAACATGCCCTCATTTCATCAAATGAACACTTACAAATAAATAGTTTGTATTTGTAGTTATTCGTTCTTAACACGTGATTCTGTCTTTCCTCCCAGAGAAAACCTCATGGGCTCCATCCTGGACCAGTCGTGTGTTCGTGTTCTCCTTCCTGTTCCTCTCAAACCCAGCCGGTCGAAGCAGATGGCCCCTTGACCTGGGCCTGGTTCTGCTGGAGACTTCTTCCTCATGAGGGGGTTTTTCCTCTCCACTGTCGCCTCTGTGCTCACTTGGGATGGGAGACTGAAGTGAAAATGCAAACAAATCTGTTGGCTCCTCAGATATATAATGTTAACGACTATATATATACGAATGTTTCTGTTCAGTGCCCCGAGACGACTGCGACTTGGTGCTATAGAGCCTGAACTGAATTACAAAACGTACCTGAAGCTTCTGTGGTAATCACAAACTTCAGTTTTCAAACTTCTCAATAGGAAAATATTACTTTGAAACTAAATAAAAACCAGGAGATTGTATTTCCTGTGAAAATGCAATGTAAATGCTTATTGCAGAAGAACTTGCTGAATTAGCTAAAAAAACATGCTGAAATCTAGCTGAAATAGAGGATTCAGCTTAAATTAGCAAGAAGCAAGAAAGAACACATATTTGCTGAATTATGTTTAAAAATGAGTGCAAAAATTATGAAATTTGCTAAAAAAAAAAAAGAGGTGAAAAGACAGAAACGAGCTTAAACTAGAAGGATGCAGAAAGAGCTGAAATTAGCTAAAAAAATGTGGAAGTGAATTAAAAAAATGCATAAAACTGCTGAATAGTAGCTGAATTAGCAGAAAAGGCTGAAACGTGCAGAAAAAGTGATTATTTTGAATTTCATTAACATCTGACCAGTGGTTCATGAGATATTTTGCTAACAGAGACATAGGAAAAACATAATTGCCTTCCCTGGTGGGCAATAACAAAATATGAAATGACAGAATAAGATTATAACTATTTTTAACTACACAATCCAAAAAGTGTATTTTGTGACAAACAAGAATCAACACGAAATGTAAAAGACATTTGAATCTGCTCAGTTCACGCAGAATCATCTCAGGTTTGGATTTTAACTTTACATCAACGCTTTGATTCAGATCAATCGCTGCACCAAGTTTGATTTGCTTCATTAATTTTTATAAGCAAAGCCTCACTAATTAAGTCAATCATGCTACTTCAGCATGAAATTATTGTCTGATCATTAAGTTGTGCTAAATAAAAAAGTGTTTTGCACACAGCATGTCAGTTTTGTTTTCCAGACCAGGAAAAGAGAAACTGAACATTCACAATGGATTTATAGAAACAATTAGTTTCTGTTTCATTTTACAAGAGAAACAATGTTTCAAAGCAAATACAAACTTCATCCAGTAAAACCTAAACTGGGCTTGACATTTTCTTTGGCGTACTGAATTTTTTCTTTATATAAGAGTTACATTATTAATTAATAATTATTAATTAATCCCAGACCTTGCAGTAGAAATGAGTGGATGAGAATTTTAGGCATCATCAAACTCACTGAAACATTTTTATCTGAACTCGAGGTGGAAAAGGCGCTCATTGCAAAGTATTCATCAAAATGATCAGACAGTGCAGTCTGTAGTTCTTCAGATAAATGCAGGTCTACACTCAACGTAAACAAAAGCACCTCGCTGAATCTGCTGTAAACGACACAAAATAACTTTTTACTGTAATTTCTGGACTATTGAGCGCACCTGAATATAAGCCACGCCCACTAAATAAAAATAAATACATACAAAGGCCCCGGATGTCCACGTTGCAACATATTTACACAGGAATTTTTTAAACTTCATCAAATACGTACCTGTAACATACACAAAAATGTACAGAAAATGTTTTTCTGAACTGCTGGTAACATGGCCGGTTAAAAAAAACCAGTACAGTAGCTTACCAGGAAGTCACTGATCGCCATCTTCCTCCTGTGCACTCCACCCATAGGGACACTGCGACCTGTTCAGTAATTTCAGTGGTCAGGTATTTTTTAAAATCTTTATTGATACAGGTAGTCTCGTTGAGTTACGAGGACCCACAGCTGCGAGCGACTGGACGTGACGAGGCTAAATGTTTTGGACACATGAAGCTCGTTTAAAAAAATAAAAATAAAAATCCATAAATTAGTCGCAGCATTGAATAAACCGCAGGGTTCAAAGATGGCCCCCAGTCACTTATTTTGCTAACAAGTTTTTAATTTAAGGACTTATCACCTATTGATACAAGAGTTGTGCAGATGATTAATTTTATTTAACACAGTTTTCATGACTTTGCAAGGAGTACCATTAAACAAGTGAAATTTGAAGTTCTCATTTGGATTGAAAACTAAATCAAATATATATATTATAATCTTTATTGTCATGAACAGTATTACAGTAAATGGGATTCGACTCAACAGAAAGAAGCTTCACTCGTTCTGACCTTTTGAAGGAAAAAATCTGAAATGCAGCAAAGGTGGATAGAGAGGAATACGGTATTCTTAAACCCTGAATAACGCAACACTGACATCACTTCATTAAAGTTCTTCATCATTCAAACACAAATAAAACAATCTTTCACACAATCAGAAACATTCAGCTGGATCGATCAGCTTTTGACATTTACTCCCCTGAAATAAATGGATGCGTCTCAGGAAGCACGTTGACACCGACCTATCAAACAAATAAACTAAAAAATGACGAAAAACAGGAAAAATGTAAACCGTCAAGCATCAACATCCACTATAACCTGTTTGGAGCCATAAATAAACCTAAATCATCATCTTTCCAAAAACCAAACACGTTAATGGTTTGCTTCTTTTTACCATCTTTGCATTTTCCCATAAATTTTCCACTGAATAAAGAACCAAAACAGAACTGCAACTGTATTCAGCACAAAACTATTTAGTGTAAAAAGCAATAAAAAAAAATAAAAAAATCAACTAATAGTTCAGAATCGTTACTGAAAATAAGTTTGTATTAAATGAGTTGGAATAAAATGTCGCCAGTGGAATGTTGCATCAACAGTTTTATATTTTATATATGAATAATTTAGGTTTTAAGCAATTGTTTCCTTGAAGCTCGTGACTAACAAGTTGTTTATCTTTGCACACAGGAGCTGGATTCAATCGTCAGCCGTTTGGAGGAAAAATAAACGACATCTAAACCAAAATGAGCTGCACGTTTTCTCGAACGTTGCAAAAAATCTACAATTTAATTTAAAAAAAATCAGGGCAAAACGTCCGTTTTTCACCTCACGCTTCACAAATCAGAGGTCCGAGTACTTCCAGCAGAGTGCGGCCCGTCTGAAAACCAGAACTTGACATTTGTCTTCGCTCGTGGATGTGGATGTGATGTTCAAGTGTCTGTCAGTAACTGAAGGCAACGTGGCTTTAGGTCCCGAGGTTTTCATTTTCCAGGAGAATAACGAAGGATACGCCGGCTCCTGCGACTCGTTTGAAGCTTCAGAACAGGAACGTTGTCAAAAATGACACATCTGGATTAGTCATACAGTGAATATTAGCGAGGACAGAAGCAGTTTTGTAATGTATACCTTAAACTTTGGTTCTTTCAGTGAAACATGTATATTGTAGGTTATTTTTTCACCAAGTAAAAAAAAAAAACTCAGAAAAAGGCTTAAACTGGTGTTTTTTGACATTTGAAATGCTCAGCTGGCTCCGATTTGGTTTTATTTCCACAAAGCTCCACTTTTCATGTAAAACTGACAAACGTATGCCCCTTTACCAACTCGACTTCAATACGGCGACAGCTTAATATTCCTCTCGTGATCGGCTTTCATGCTTATTTCTCAATCAGACCGCCGTCTTTCAGTTTGAAGTAGAAGAACTTCTCCAAGGTGTTGGCACTCTTGCAGTACTCGCTGTCTGGAGGGTTGTACTCGCGACAGTTGCTGATGATTCGCTGGAGGTCTGCAATAAAAAGCTTTTTGGTTACGTAGTATCGGTTCTTGAGTCTTTCTGTCATGGTCTTCAAGTCTGCAGGCACAAGAAACATTGAAACGATGAATAGCCACATACACAAAAAACTAAAACTGGGAGTTGACAAGTTTTCAGAGGGTTGCTCTCGCACCGATAGGAAAGCGGATGATCTCGTAATAATCGGGGGCATCAGATTTCTTCACGGGCTCCATGAAAGGCCAGGCATCAGGATGAGTCTGTTGAAAAGATGGAATAAAGTCCACATCAATTTCAGAGATTATGTTTTTACTTTTGTTTTTAGGAAATATGTAAAAATTCACCCTTTCAGCTTTGCATCAACACATTTTAAGAACATTGTGATGGTGTTTTTGGAAAATGGGTTTGAGAGGAAAAAAATAATAATTCTTCAGAATCAGAAACAGCTTTATTGTCATTGCACAGTTAATACAGCGAAACCACGGTACGCTCCATACAGCCGTCCGGAAGATGGACGGAGGCTGCAGCTTCTAAGAAGCGCTGCCCTTTTTGCTTAGATTTAAAAAAGGGGAGAGAGCATCAGGAGAGAGGTATAAAAAAAAGATCTCTCTCCCTGTGTCCTTGACGGAGCACAGTTTGAGGCATGAAAAAAATTACCACAGCAAAGCAACATAAACAGACATAAAACATATGTGTGTGTGTGGGGGTCCCAGCACGGCTGCAGGTGAGCGACGCAGCCATTTGGCGGCTTCGCATCTCCCAGGTTGCTGCGCCAGGTGAGAGTCCAGCGGAGGCACCACGGCACAGTCCAGATCTCCCCCTCAGCCATAGTCCTGATAAGAGGTGTTTGTTTATCAGCCAGCTCGGTTGAGCTCTGTCACAGGTGCACGACCTTAGGAAAGGGAGTGGGGAGGGAGCGTCTTGTTTCCATAACATCCGCCTTCCAAGGCCGGGTCCAGATTCAGATATCGAGTGCTGCCAAGCTCGGCACATCCTCCACACATTCCAGGCAGCTTTTAAACAGCTGCTGATTAGGGGTGTAACGTTACACGTGGGTGTATTGAACTGTTTCGGTTCGGTCCACGTGCGTACCGTTTCAGTTATTTTCTCACTCATTAAATTTTATTAACGAGTTTATGCGCTGTGGAACTAAAGTTCCTAAGCGTGTTTCAGCACGGCGCTATTATCTTGCAGCACGCGCAGCATTAGCAGCCTAGCATGTCGTTGCGGTCTCCTGTTTGGGAACATTACGTCTTTCTTGTTAAAAGACAAGTGAACAAATCCAAAGCTGTGAGTCGACGTCGTTTCACGGAGAGTGGATCTGCAGCAGCAACACGTCGAACTTGTCAACTTGAAACGACATCATCCGAACGTGAACGTCTCTTCTAGCAGCTCGGAGCAAAGATCAACAACAGCATCATTTAAACAACCGTTATCAGGTAGTTCAGGTCGGTCCAGAGCAATAACACAAGCTGTAGGAGGTTTTAAAGCTCTGGATCTACGTCCGAATGTTGTTGATGCGTCGGCTTTAAAGTTATTGAGCCCCAGTACAACATCCCATCACGTCATCACTTCAGCCAGACAGTTGTAGCAGCACTTTATGAAAAAGATAAAACTGATATTGTCAACAAGCCCTGGACCAGATTAAAGTCCTGCCCCGATGATGATGAACGAGAGATTCAACCTCCTCATAACAAATGATGTCCGTTCAAAAGAGGTATTGCTTATTGTATTATTATGATCTCATTAACTTATTAACTCTTTTTTTTTTTTTAACCTCTTTGTGTTTTATTTCCAGTCTGGGACAGAGACAGCAGCTGAGTCTTCTTTCTCTTCAGTGAAATCCACCAGAGATCACCTCCAGTCTGTGATGAGTGAAGTCTGAACTCTTCCAGGGACCTGTCCCACCTGTGGGAGCAGGTCCAAGATGTTCTGAGTAACGAGGCCAAATGCAGCCACTCTGTAAAATCATCAAAGCTCTGCCTCTTTATTCCTGCTACTGTTGTTAGTGAGAGGTTTCCTCCACCGCTGGAGATGATGTCACTGCAACTAGATCTGAGCTTTTGGCACAAAATGTGGACAAGTTGGTCTTTTTGGCCAAAAACTTAAAACTTTATTAGTTGGATTGTGAACGGTCTGTTGCTGCTTGTTGTTCTGGTTCTGACTGTTATTGCATTTATTAAGATTTTTATTATTTTTAGTATACTTTATTTATTGTAAAGAGTGCCTTTTATTTAAAATATCATCCAAATGGGTCACTGTTACTTATTTTTATACAAACATATTGTTTACTTGGCATATTTTCAAAATAAACGTTTTGTCAGTCTTTATTTTGGCCTTTTTTTTTTTACTGAAAATGACCCGAACCGAGCCCTCGCTGAAACTGAACCGAACTGAAATGTGATTTTAGCGTACCGTTACACCCCTAATGCTGATGTTTCAGAATTTGGAAAAATTCTTAAAACACCACCAGTGTTCCCCCTACCATTACACAGCAGGGCGCCTCGCCCTGTCAATAGAAATGAACCCCCCCGCCGACACGGAAGTAGCGCTAAGCTAGCAACGCGTAATACAGATGCACTAACTAAAACGCTACAAGTAGCTCCCCGATTCCTCCCTCATGCTGAGATGGTGTCATGTACACTATTGCCGCAGCTCTAACATCAAGGTCACAAATCAAGGTCAAAGGTTGAACAAGGTCTTCTTTCCAGGCCGTTGCTATAGATTGCTGTAGAACAGCTTTCTGAAAGGCGTCAAATGTGCCGTCGACTCTTGTTCTTTACAGATCATGCGAGCTTTATGCTTCAGGTTTCCTGTTTTTGGTGTGTTCATGGCAGGATTACAGCGCCATCTACAGGCTTGGCATTGTTAATTCAACATTTTGGTTTTCTGCATTTCCATGTGGATGAAACCATTTTAAGAAAGGATGCCATGTTTTATAAAATATTTTGAGAACTAAATTGAAAAATTGTTGTGGAAAAGATTGTGCGTGTGGGCAAAGCCCAAGTTTGTGTGGATTTCTCTACAGGCGACTAACCTTTATTTGAGCCAGAAGGTTCTTCAACATATTGTACAGAACATCAGGGTCCTTAACTTCTTTCCTACAAAACATGTTAAACAACACATAACTGTTAAACAACACATAACTGGAGATGGTGATTCATGATAATGCCAAAAGTTGAAGGAGAAAAAAATAGGACGACTGTTTACCCTTTGTCCTTGTTACTGGATTTCCAGCCCGTCTCTCCTGGAAAATATATAAAATCTTGTAAATAATCCAGTGATTCATTTAAATTTAGCTCTCAGTTTCTATAATCCACTCACGTATTCCCGGGATGCTCTCCACTGGGATCTGCCGCACTCCTTCTTTGAAGCAGGTCAGACCGGGGTAGACCTTCCTGATCTGACTCTGTTTTTTCTCAATCAGCTTCTTAATAATCTATCAAATCACAACGAGTTAAAATAAATTTAAAAAAAAAAGCCACAGCACAAGAACATTTCTTAGCTGTAACACGTTAATGTCACATCCTTACATACCTCCTTCTGTCTCTTAATGATATGAGAAAGCTCAGTGTAAGGGATTTTAGGGTTCAGCTCACACTCCATGAGGGTCGCTCCTTCGTAGTCTTTGATGTATCCCAGGTACCGACTCTTGGGCACTTTAATGTCTTTGGAAAAGCCCTGCAGAGATAAAAGAAAACATGTTTACAGGAGAGGGGTGGACGGAGGCACAGATAAATGTTGCGTCTGCAGTACCTGCTTCTTGAAGTAGCCTATGGCGTACTCGTCGGCGTAAGTGAGGAAATACAGAATGTTGTGTTTAATGTGGTACTCCTTCAGATGGTTCATGAGGTGGGTGCCGTAACCCTGCAAGAGACCAAACAGACAGAAATATGAACAAGTAACGAGGACTTGCAGTGAAAACTGCTTTTATTCATGCACTTGTCAACCCGTTTATCAAACAGTAAAAATACGCGGTAATGTGGATGCACATTAAATAAAAACAAAAAGGTCTTAAGGGAAAAGTTAAACAATTGATCCAGATGTGGTAGAACTGTTGGATACGAGTACCTTCACTTGCTCGTTGGATGTGACGGCACAGAAGACAATCTCAGTGAAGCCCTGAGTGGGAAACATCCTAAAACAGATGCCTCCAATGACGCGGCCATCTTTAATGAGGGCGAGGGTTTTGTGCTTCCTGTGAACAAATGGAAGACACTGAAGGTCTGGCACGATGTCACGTGTGAATAAACAACATCTGCTTACGGGTCGAACACCAGTCGGGTGATGTACTCTTTGGGCATTCGAGGTAACTGATGAGAAAAGACATTCTGGAGGCCGACCAGCCACATCAGGATCTTCTTGTTGGACTTCTGGGAAAGGGAGTTTCCGATAACGTGGAACTCTATGATGCCCCGTCTCTCCTCCAGCCTGGCGGTCTCATCTCGGGCAGCGTTAGGCGTCAGCAAATTTGTCTACCAACATAAACTTTCAGTTAGACACAATAATGAATGCCCCTTGAACCTAAATAACAAATTTAAAACTGCAGCCATTTGTTACAGAGTAAATGTGCAACAGCGCTCGCTGACTTTATGAAGCTGCAATGTTGGCACAACGTTTAAACTTTTAGAAAATGTCTCCAAGCGTAGGAGCACATCACTGGCACAGGCGATTCTCAATCACCGGCCATTTTTAATGGTATGTTGGTCAGAAGACTGTGATTAATACGTTTTATTGGCATATTTAATTGTGAAATTCCTCCATTATTACCCCCTTCTTCCTTTCCAGATGGCGGGGGTTGCTGGTGCCCATGTCCTGCTATCAATGTGCGAGAGGTGGGGGGGCCCAGAGGACAGGCCCCCAGTCCATCACAGAGACAAACAATTCACACTTTCACCTACAGACAATTTAGAGTTACCAATCAGCCTAACACGCATGTGTGAAGAAAATATATTTACTGATCTGCTTCCTGACACACTGCAATATTCTATGTCTTAAACAATATTATTTTACTGTACATTTCATAATTCCTTCACTTTATTAGGTCCCCAAAGGGCAATTCATTTACAGGAAGTAGTGGTGAAGATGACAGCCAGCACATTCATACAAACTTTAAACATGACAAAATGAATAAAAACAGGGTAAAAAGTACATTTCAAACAAGATTAATAATACATAAAAATTAAAAAAATAAGAGTCGGACTGCAATAATTCAATAGCAGCCTTAGGTCAAGGCATTAAATCTATATTTTGTTTAAAAACACAATGACTCTGGGGATGACAGATTTCTTTAATCTGTTTGTTCTACATCTAGGTAGACCATATCTTCTGCCTGAAGGAACAACATTGAACTGAGTGTGTAGGAGATGGGTGGACTCCACCTAAATTGTTTTGGCTTTAGATACTGACCTGGACTTAAATAGGTCCATGATGTCATTCTAGGTAGTCTAGACAAAAGGGCCTTCTCCTACTCCGCTCCTGTTTCCTGGAATATCTTACAAAAAGATCTGAAGCTCTCGACCTTTGACCTCTCTAAGCGGCTTTAAGAATCTGTTGAACACCTGACAGGGACCAATGCAGACATGTTCCTGTTTTTAGTTTTATACATTCGCCTTAGAATCCAGCTGCTTTTACTACTTTTTTGCATCTTATTTTAATTTGTAAAAAAATAAATCTGTATGCCTCTTTTATAACTGTCCACTGTTGTAGCAGTTGTCATGATTCTTTGTTAAATCAGGTCTCTCTTGTAAATGAGTCCTCGAGGCTCAATGCGATTAACTTGTCTAAATAAAGGTTGAATGAAAAAATAAAATAAAATCAATTGAATCCCAATAATTTTTCCGCATTCTTTGATAACACCCTGTAAGCGATTACATTTTTTTTGTTTTAAAGTTCAACAACCCAAACCAGCAACGAAATAAAAATATGAGGACCGATTCAATAAAACAGCTGTAAAACATTTTCATAAAAATGCAATCAACATTTAAGCTCCTCAACTTCTGGAGGACATGCATCCTCTGGTGGGCTGTCCAGCAGATTCCAGCACCCTGGGACTCAAATGCCAATTTTTTGTCCATCACTGCGCCCGGGTGTTTGTGTTCTTGCACCTCTTCCACTACCTGACCCTGAATGGAAACAGGAGAGGGCAGAAGCTTCCTAACGTCCATGTTCATCACTTTTGTTTTTGATGCGTCAACGTGCAGGAAGGATGACCGGCACCACTCCACAAAGTCCTGCAGGACGTCGTCTGGGCCTGCTGGAACATCGCCATTAAGTAGACACGTGATAATTGAGTCGTCGGCAAACTTTAATGTGATGATTCTCATGGTGACTTTGGCGCATGTTTGTATAAAGAACAAACAAAGGTGATAAAATGCATCCCTGAGGCACACCTGTGGAGGACACCACAGCATCATTTTGACCCGTTTGTTAAAAAGCCACATGGTCAGGGCAACACTGCATGATTTTAGTCTCTGTGGGGCTGAATGTTCTTTATTGGACTCGGTGTCATTCTGACATGAATGGTGCGTTAGCTGATGCTTCTGGTTTGTAGAATGATGAGGCCAAGTCGCAGCTGGTTAGGGATGCTCATCACCTCCCCAACACCAGTAAGAAACTTTGAGAATGTTTTCATTTTTCTCCTGGACTCGGACAAGTTCGGTTGGTCACACAGAGCTGAGACGAGGGAGGGGGGCCCCTTGATGAGTTTTTTTTTTAAACTAACGATTTCAGTAAGTTAGAGCAGAACCCCTGGGGCCAAGGCATTAGGAGTCTGTACTTGTGATGCGCTGACTTTCTGTGAGTCTGACTGTTCTCCAGAGCTTTGTAATGAATTTGATGACGTCTACACCCGATTGTCCGAGAATCTTTTCTTTTCTACGACAGTTGTTTTTGGTCTGTGGGAGGAAACCGGCGTCCCCCAGGTAACTCCAACTGCCAACTCCACCCAGAGCGGTGCCAGGCTGGGATTTGATCCAGCAACCTTCTTGCTGAGGCAAAAGCTCCACCGTCTGCACCATCGCGCCACACCAACCTTTATTGTGCATCACATTTAAAATGAGCGTTTTTAAAATGCGTTTGCAAGATAAGCCATAATCAGTCAACACAGAAATGTCTAGATCTGTTTTTGTATTTCAGTTTTACAGTTTTTAGAAAAAGATCACGAGATTACCACATACCAGTGTTAGTTCAGAAACCTGATAAATGCAGATAATCAGTTTACAATTGTATCACAGCTCTCTGACTCATAACTAAACTAAAGTTTTCCACCTCTAGCATTTAGCCTCCAAACATTCCTTTATGTATGAGTCAGACATTTTTCTGCAATTATTAAAGTGGCTTTGAATAAAGTTAATTCAATTCAATTCAGTTTTTTTTATAAAGCGCCAAGCCACAACAGAAGTCATCCCAGGGCTCTGAACAGAAATGTTCATGTTTGCAAAATAAGATGACATCATTTATCTGAGGAGCTGTCAGGACAGTCAGATGTTTGTCCTTTGTTCAATGTGCAGGAAGAGTTTATCACTTACCGGCAAAGCACAAAGTGACGCCTTAAAATCATAATCAGTCCTATTTCAGGAAGTACTACTTCGAAACAAAGAAAACAGTAAATCATGCCAAGTTTCTTCGTGATTTTTAATTTTTTTTTGTTTGTTTTTTGCTTCGTTGTCACACGATGACTCATTCAATTACAAAAAGCTTCGTAGACTGAGGGAATGAATTCACAATAAGCCTGTTGTTTTGTTACATTAGGCCCTTTGTTTCTCTCGGTTCATCAAAAACTCGTTTTTTTAAGTCGTGCCATCAAATTCTCAAAGAAAACTAAAAGTTAGAAAATAGTCTGTGAAACAGCAACGTGACTCCCAAAAAGCTTTTGGATAAAGTTGCATTTGGAGTACCTGCTTCTTGTGGTTTTGCTTTCTCCCATTTTTGTCAGATCTTTTCTACAGATTGTTTCTTAAATCTGAATTTCTTCTGTTCAGCGTTCGTCAGTATCTTTGTACTCCCTGATCAAAGATACACCACGTCTCCAGGCAACACTGACCTTCAGCCTCCCTGGAATTATTTATTCTCGAGCACTTACACAGGAGCACAGTGTTTCGTGTATTCTTAGTTTAACGGTTTTCTTGGATCTTATTACTGTTTTTCTTTACAATTTATAATTTTTGCTGGATGTAACTGGGACCCTCTGTACACAATTTCATTCCATCACATGTACCACATGTGATGCGAATGACAATAAAGAACTTGACTTGAAACATTTTACAACAAGGTTTGGCAGATTAAAAGTAAAATATTTTGGACATCTAAGTTCTGATGATACTGGACAACGGGTTTCCAGCTTTGAAAAGAGCTTATTGTTACTGTACTCTACAAACAAATCTTCTATATATAAAGTCAGTTGAATTATTAAAGAATAAAAGATTTGAAAGATGTCGAGGTTTAGTCAAGTGAAACATTTTCCTTCACAACTTGTATGGAAGCGTGTGGCATGGAGGCTGCACAGCTGCAGAAAGAAAAGCTCTGCAGAGAGTGGTGAAGGCTGCACAGAAGATGTTGGAGTCAGCCTCCCCACCATCACAGACATCTACACCTCCAGATGCAGGAAGAGAGCCACCTGCATCATGAAGGACCACACTCACCCAGCACACACACTTTTTGCCCCATTCCCCTCAGGAAGGAGGTTGAGGAGCATTAAGTGTAGAACTACTAGACTGAGGAACAGCTTCTACCCTGAGGCTGTTAGACTCATGAATCTCTAACCAGAATAATCACTTTATTGTTGATATGTGCTGCTGATCTCATGCTGCTGATTTATGTCATGCTGCTGTGTTCATACGTACTCATCTGCTCGTGCTGCTGTTCAGCGTCTTGTTTTTGTACCATTAGCGTTTAGTGTATTCTTAGTTCATATCTTGGATCTTATTACTGTTTTTCTTTACAATTTATATTTTTGTTGGATGTAACACAATTTTAATAAAGACAAATAAAACCAGACAAATATAGAAACTTTGACTTTGAAAGTGGCCAAGATGCTCATTCACCCTGGAGACTACATTTACAAAAGAATGATGCATGTTTCTACATTTGCTTTAAGGGACTCACCTCAGGTCCGAGCATGGCGGCAGGGTCAGTGATGGTCATCATGACTTCGTTCACCAGCTCCATGGGAATATCTCCCATCACACGAATCCGCTTGGCATCTTCTAGTGTCAACGCCTCGGGCAGTTTGCGTTTTTCCCCTACACATGTCAGGGATGTCTTTCAGATCAAAGCAATAGAAACAAGCTCCTTTGTGCATTAAAAGTTATAAAAATATATAAACCGAGCCAACAGAAGTATTTTCACATTTGAGTTTGGACTGCACGAGACAGTTGAAGGTACGAGACGTGAAGCTTCGCTGTGACTCGCGCAGGAAGATACAGATGTGGGAACTGACCTGTGACGGGCTCTACGCCGCCGGCGTCCCCGCTGCCCAGAGTTGAGCTGCTGCTCAGACATTTTGACAAAGCAGAAGAGCCCGGCACTGAAGCCGGACTGATCCCTGAAACGACAAGACTCGATTATGAACCGCTCAACTACCAGAAGATCTTAGGTCCCGCATCAGATTATTGAGCTGGGTTTATATTTACTATTTTAATTACCGTATTTTACGCCAACACGTTGCACCGCCCTATAAGTCGCATCAGTCCATATTTGTCTAATAAAGTGGAAAAATCCATAAATATGTGGCTTCGCCGTATACGTTGCATATATTATGCGTCACCGCAGACAACCCAGAAATGTGGGTCGGTGTGAAATTTGCCAAATGGCGGCTGCGGGCATGTGCACGTGTGGACTTTAACGAGAATTTAACCAGATTAACACTTAAAAACAATTGTTTGCTCAAAATTACAGTAAAGGTGTGTCTCAGTCTAACGTTTGCTTAATAAATGCACTTTATGGTCAAATCAGCTGCATGTCAAAAGCTGATGCGCGGAAGTAAACGCGTGCACGCAACGAGTCGCTGTGCCAATTTAACAAGCTAAATGCCTAAAAACAATTATTTGTTTGCTCGAAATTATAGCAAAGGTGTGTCTCAGCTGAACTATTCCTTAAAAACATGCACTTTAATGGTCAAACCAGCTGCATTTCGCCGGGGTGGTGCAGCTGGTTTGACGGTTCCGAGCAGAACGAAGGTGGGGGTACTAAGGCAAGCCGATTGTGTCATTAATAGCTGGTGAAGATTCTCAGTCATCCAGGACATGGTAAATTTAAAAAAGCTAAAGAATACAACAATAAAGTATAAAGTATAATAAATAAAGTCCAGTTGTTTTTGTCTTGAACTTTTTTGAATTTGTCATTATAGACTTTTACCTATTACATGACGCAACGGAATGCCTTACATACATTTGGGGAGTGGTGGCGCAGAGGTTAGAGAGGTGGGCTTGTGATCCGAAGATCGCCGGTTCACGCCCCGGCCCCGACAACATCAAAATTGTGGGTGGGGTAGGTGAAACACTCATACTTGCCCCCACCCTCATTCGCCCCACTCTGGGCCCATGAGCAAGGCCCTTAACCCCCACCATGTGCTCCCTAAACAGGTCTCTCTTGAAAATGAGTTCTCGTGGCTCAATGAGACTAACCTGGATAAATAAAGGCTAAAAAAAAAAAAAAATAAATAATACTGATAATACTACTCGCTGCCATCTAGTGGTTGAATGTGGTACTGTTAAAAAAAATTCTGTCAGAATGAATGAAAATGGTCATATCTCAGCCAAAAACTGGTTTATAAATATGGGGAAAAAATCCATAAATATGTTGCTTGGGCCTATAATAAAGTAATGAATTAATAAAGTATTTTTGAATTGAATTGAATAAGGTCTTTGTTTTCTTTGTGAAGGTTCTTACTGGCACACAAATTTTTTTACATTTTCAACTTAAACATTCTGCACCCCTACGAGTGAACTTCAAATAAATTAAACAACTGTTTAATATTACAATATGCATTTTCTTTTATGTGGAGTTCTTGTCTTGCCACCTGTCTGATGTCCCATCTGAGAGCCGTCTGAGGCAGGCTTGGTGAAGTCCGCTTCCCAAATAGGCGAATTCTCACCGTAGATTTCCTCCTCCAGCATCGACAAAAATCTGAAAACACACATGCGCAAGATCTTAATGAGACAATCAGAATATTTAAGATTTAATTAATATATCACTAAACAAGTTAGGATTCAATGTGCAATGAGACTCATCTGATTCCATTGACGACCATCAGATCATCATACCAACACTTATTCTCCAGGGACTGATGCTAACCGGCCAGAGGAACAGCTCCAAACCAAAGCTTGTCAGCTCATGTCCCGCTGAGACTCACGCTGCAGGATACGCCATGGATCCGTGGGGAGTTTGGCAGCTGATGTGTCTTTCTGTTTTGTCTCAGGAGGACGGCGAAGACGTTTATATAATTGGATTCATGATAGCAGGGTTTCTGCTTTCTGGCATCGACCGATTCCTGTTATCGGCTATTAAGGAAGACGGCGGCAGCAGTTTCAGCCATGGCAAAACTGCCGTCTGTCTGAAGGTTTGGTTCGTGCTTCGAGAACTCAAAATCAGCTGAATTACGAGCTAAACCGTACGATGGGAAGCGATTTGTGAGAATCACGGGCCACCTGCAGCTTTTGGGACTCGCCAGCATGTTGGAGACAAACTTGGAGGAGCCTCGTAAGCACGGACCAGTGGAATGCCCAGTAATCTGGCCATTTGGATTGAAAGTACCAGCAGGACTCAAGGCTGACAAGAAAAAAACAGTCTGCCTGAAAAAAAGAAAACTTATCAAATGTCTCCTGGGACATGTGTAAACTAAGGAAAAGCTTCATCTATCACACCCACGCAAACTTCTGTGGAGGCTTATCAGAACTGTGCCGGCTGACCAACATCTCATCAGGACTATGGAGCTACCCGGAAGTGCTTCATGGACACATCTCACCATTCATATGTAACGTGTCTGTAAATGTGCTGCTGGTAGAGTTTGTTGATGTTTTCAATCATGTCCTGATAGGACAAGGTGTGAAGAGATCTTTTTTTGTAACGTCACAATCCATCCTCATGGACTTTTACCCTTTTCTATCTAAAAGAATTCTGAAAAAGGATAAGTGGCCGCGCTCCAGTAGCAGCAACGTGCACTCCGCCCATCTGTCAGACGATTGTACGAACATAATTTCAATGTATTTCGGTACAACGATAATAAAGCTTATTCTGATTCAACTCCCACGCACACCCCCACCCTCCGTTTTTCTCTACCAGTATGTGCAGCCATCAGCTTATCGGTGCCAGTTTAGGAGATCCACTCTTACTTGGGAAAGTGTGTGAGGATAAGTGTGCGTTTCTCCGGCAGCAGCTTGTCCTTCTCCACTCTGAACTTCTCCAGGAGCTGTCGTCGAGTGACGGTGAAGATGGATTTGAGAAGGTTTCGTCCAAACACGTGAGTGGTTTCGTAGCGCGGCAGGCTGTCGTTGCTTTGTGGGACGTGGCAGTAGCACAACCACCTAACAGCCCCACAGAGTGGACATGAAACTGCTGTTACATCACAAGTGGGTGCAGAAATAAAGAATAAATGCACGTGCTTTCCTTACTAACACACCTGGTGTAGTCCACTTTGTAAGCCGCTGCGTCATCTTTCTGGGTCCGCTGGCGGTACTGTGTTGGGGTCTCCAGCTTCCAGTAATTTAAGCATAAAAGAAACATCTTTGACAGTTCGAACATGGTCTGCCTCTCCTTTGGCGGCAGGTGGCTGAACTTATACTGGACAAAATTCAAAACGCCCTGCAGGGAAAAATAATTAAACGGTAAAAAACAGTAGTTTGTGCTAAAAAAGGATCAACTTTAGGTCATGGTCTGGATATGTTTCATGTTGACCTGCTCAATGTTGGGCTTTTCGAAAGGTGGGCTTCCAAGGGACCTCTCTACAACCGGCTGGCTCATCTGTAGGATGCATTTCCTCAAGAGCTAAAATAAAGAGCAAAGTAAAAACTAAATAAAAGTGCCCCATCGTGCATGACTCCAGAACACCGGCCGTGTGACAAAACCTTCAGTTACCTTGAAAAGGTAGAAGTAAACTTGTTTTGTATCGGTGTCCTCCTCTTTGTGCACAGACATGAAGAGGTTCTCCACATCTACCACCATCCCCAACAGCCTGTTAATCTCATCCTCAGACACGTTCTCCAGATGTGACACGTGATCAGCTGTGAACGAAGCAAAGAATGAATAAATAGATAATAATCAGACATAACGTGCTGAACAAGACATTATCTGAACATTCTACGCCAGTGGGGGTTCCACAGTTTTTGCTAAGTATTTTGGGTCTCTCAGATAATTGTGGACGTCTGAGCAAGACACAAAATATAAAATTAGAAGAATCTGTGTGCCGACCAGCACAGACGTGGAGGAGCAAACTCAAACCAGTTCTGAACAACATAAAGCAGAGAAACCCACGGCAGCATTGATAGTTCCTCACAAGCTGTGGTACTCGTGTCATATCTTTGTTCAGCTTTTGTTTAGAACTACCATCTAAAGCAAATTCAGCACTGGCTCTCCTCAGGGATGTGTGCTGAGCCCCCTCCTGTTCACTCTGCTCACGTATGATTGTGCAGCTACCCATCCAGGCTGTCACATTGTAAAGTTTGCAGATGATGCAGCGGTGGTGGGATGCATCACAAACAATGATGAGTCCAGCTACAGGCAGGAGGTGGAACACCTGGAGGGCTGGTGCAGAGAGAACAACCTTCACATCAATGTGAAGAAGATGAAGGAGATGATTGTGGACTTCACAAGGAACAAACACACCTACACCCCCCTGAACATAAGAGGATCTGCAGTGGAAGATGTCTCCAGCTACAAGAACTTGGGTGTGCACCTGAACAACAACCTCAGCTGGAGCAACAACACCACCAGCCTGATGAAGAAAGGTTTTCAGGATTTTCCTTCTTCAGGGGTCGCCACAACGAGTCATCCTCCTCCATCTCACTTAGCTTAGATGAACTCGCATATTAGTTTAGATCAAAGTGTTTTACGTTGGACGCTCTTCCTGACACAACCTGGTTGGTGGTTTTAATATTGATTCGATTTTTATGAAACCGTTTTATTGAGTCTCCTTTAACTTTCACCTTCATCTGTTGGTCTGGACTTCTGACATGCAAATACAGGAACAAACTCTCGGGATTTTCAGAATGTGCAGCAAAACTGCTGGCATGGACCTACGGAACCTCGCTGACCTACACAAGGTGAGGTCAGTGACCAAGGCCAGGCTGATTCTGGCAGATCCTGATCATCACTCCGCGGTGAGTTCAAGTTGCTTCCATCTGGACGCAGGTATCTGCTGCCCAGATGTGGAACGAACAGACTGAAAAACTCATGTATCCCTCTAATGACCAGGCTTCTCAATGAACGATGATTTCTGTTGTTTTAATGTCTAGTATTGATGTTCTGTGTGTCGACTGACTGTGAAACAAACTGGCCTTTGGGGATAATAACGATTCGTGAACCTTCACCGTTTACCCGGGTTTGGGACTGGCACATAAGATACACCGACTCGTACTCCCTAGTAGCCGGTTTCTCAGCCTTTCCTGTTAATTTTGGCTATTCGCCTATAATTTCAAATGCCACGTGGAGGAAACAAAACCGTGCACGTCACCTCATTAACACACTGGAAACATCCTGATGTGGAGTTAGAATTTAACTAACAGAGGCACGTCGCTGTACGAATGGGAGGTTTTTAGAAGTTGAAAGACCTGAAGTGAAACATGTGACTGACCAGGAACGACTTGAATCAAACCAAATACTGAAGCAGCGTTTCAGAATACTATGTGATCACTGCACTGGTGTGTGTTGATCAGTGAGGGTGTTGATCAGTGTGTGTGTTGATCAGTGTGTGTGTGTTGATCAGTGTGTGTGTGTTGATCAGTGTGTGTGTGTTGATCAGTGAGGGTGTG